TTTTTTTTTTTTTTTTTTCTAAAATACGTACTTGCACAAATTCCTATAATAAATGAAAGGAAATTGTTATTATAGAAGGAAACTTACCTTAAATAGGTAAAACGAATAAGGTAAAGCACGGTTAGATATATTCGGTGTAAGAAATAAAAAGCCAAGACAAAAGTTACTCGAGAAGAAAATAAGAAAAAAGTGTTGGGATGACGAATTTTGTCAAAGTAGCAAGTTCATATGGACGAGTAGAAGTAACTCCGGCGTAGAAAAGGTTCCTCCTCGCGATCTCTTTTCTTCGAGTTCGGAAAAGTGGCGTGACGAGTCGGCAAAGACTTCGTCGTTGCGAATGAACTTAACTTTTCTCGTGCGCAGGTGTTACTCTAAGCGAAGAAAAATGTACGAAAGCTCGACTATTAGTTTCTTTCGTGCATAAACTCGAGTGCATAGAGCATTGTCGAGTTTCTTCTATTGAAATTTTCCTCTTTTACTTTTACATATTCACGCAGACGCATTTTAAGAGAGAATTATTAAGTATACGCTGGAAATGGGAAAATGAAGAGAAGTAAGTTAGAGAAGAAAGAGTGAAACAAGCGGAAGGTGAAACAATTTCGTTGACGTTAAGAACAGCCATACGCGGATATTTTTTATCTCTTCATTTTTTCTTTCCATCCGCCAACACCGAAAGCACGAAGCAATAATATTGTGGCGCCCGAGGCGATGGGTGGGAAAACGGGACCTAATTTTAAAACTATTAAAGCGTTGCAAAAAGTGCAATATTGTGTTTCTCTTCGTCCTCTTTTTCCTCGCAATCTCTTCCTCTTCTCTTTTCTCTCTTTAGTTATACAACTACTACACAACCACCACCCTGTACCTTTTTATTTTTTTATTTTTTATTTTTTATTTTTTATTTTTTATTTTTTATTATTATTAAACGTTCGCCGTTACCTACTTGCGCTTTCGTCGACGTTCAATTTTCCAAATGGGAAATAGAATATGACGGCGAGACTAGAACGCCGTTTTAACAGGACGTTGCTCCAGCATTAATTGGTCTTTGTCTTTATTTTGTCCTTTTAATTCGGAGACAAGAAGTTTTTCCGATGTAAACAGACAGCAAATAGTAGTAGTAAAGTGGGATTTTGCCCGTCTGGTTGTAGTCCGGTCTAGTCATCATCGCCATTGTCATCCAATTTTCATTTTTTCTAGCTACTTGAACTCAAGTTAGAGCACTGCATTTTTTCGTCCCATCTATACTTTGTATATACCTAGGTATCTATGTACTACAATTTTTCCAAGGTATCAACATCTCGGTACGACCCATATTTTTTCGCGGCCAGCAGGACGACGATTTGAAACCGCGAAAAGCAGAGAAACGCAAGCTGCGGGCGACAGTGTATTCTCTTCCTGTTTGTCTGTCTACTACTAGCCTGCTGCTGCTGCTGCTGCTGCTGCTGCCGCTGCTGCTGGTTGCGGTATAACGCTAGGTAGATTAAAAATCCGTTTTCAAGAAAAAAAGTCGAAACAAAAGAAAGAGGAGACTTTGACAAATCGTTGAAAAATATGGGCGAAGAGGCAACATCCATTGCTGGCAGTCCTGGCGCTGCTCTCTGTACGTCGTCCTTTTCTCTTATCCTTTTTTGCACGACCCACTGCTTTCTGGTTTTTTTCCTTTTTTTTCCTTTTTTTCCTTTCTTTTTCCTTTCTTTTTCCTTTCTTTTTCATTTCTGATCTACTGCCAAACTGTAGATCTTCGCGATATCCTTTCTATCCTACAATACTAGGGATTTTGTTCTTTTACGAGAGAGATACTTTGAAAAGTTCGATCTTTTTTCTCACTCTCGTTACGTTTAATAATAAATTGTCTTCTTCTACTGTGTCGGAACGATGCCATTCTCGTTCCCTTTCTGTCGATATTTTGACGGTGTTTCGCGTGAATAAAAAATCGAGTTTGCATCGAAGAATCGTATAGCGATAATTCATAGCTTTTCCAGTCGTTTGACCTATTTCTATTTTTTTCTTCAAAAAAATTTCTTTTCCTATGATTTTGATGATTATCTTTTTTTATTTTTCGCTCGATCATTTTTGGCACGATCGATAAAACTATTGAAGCAATAAGTGTTACGTGTCAAACCCAGTAGTTTTTACTCTTCCAATCAATAACCTACTTCTCATCCCAACTCATATTTACCTACACTACTCTATAACGCTCTCACATATATACTTTCACCGATATATAATCTTTCCCGAGTATTCATTTGGTCCTTTAGTCGGAGCGTTATCACTTTAGATTACGGTTGACCGATCAAAGTGTTCTTAACGCTATGATAAAAGCAAAAAGCTACGATATTGTCTATATATTACATTCAACTGTCCGAACATTCCACTCAAGCATCCTATCGAATGAAAAGACCAACGTATAATATATAATTCATTAAAATGGAATGACTTTGTATAAGTTACAACTCGTCATCGTCGAGCTTTTAATTAATAATCGACATTATAATTAACGAGTGGATTTTGGATCGAGCGGCAAAATGCGCACAACTGGGAAATCGTTATCGATCGAAAATAAAAGAAGAGAAACAATGTTGCGAAGAAAAAGACCGAGGAGAACAGCAGCGAATCTACCCATCTTTTCCATGGAGCTTCTTCTACTTTACTTCCCCTCGTCCTTCTCGCAGATTGTACTTACTCTCTTTGTATTGGAGAACATTGGAGTGCTTCTCGTGAATGACGACGCAGCGGTAGCAGGATTTCCTGGAACGAAGAGAAAGACGATGTTCCTTTAGTTTAAAGTCCCGCAGTGTCCTATCTCCTTCTCCTTCATCCTTCTTCCAAGAAGGATCAAGGAATGGTAAGGGAAAAGAGAGAGAGAGAGAGAGAGAGAGAGAGAGAGAAAATAAAAAAGCGCACAATCATGATTATGAAATTTTTCTCGTTCATTTGCGCTTGCCGTACTTTACAATCTCGCGTATTTTAAATTCTTTTCAAGATTATTTGAAAAGTACGTGTACACTGAGTGTTTTATATATATAATTTTTCTAAATATAATATATATTAGTAAAATAGTTTTTTTATCTCTCTCTCTCTCTCTCTCTCTCTCTCTCTCTCTCTCTCTCTCTCTTTCTGTTTTTCTCACAAAATAAAGGGTACGTATAGTAGACGATTAATTTATTATAACAAAGGTAGGAGAAACGAGCCACTCTCGGTTATATACATTTTCTTTCGACCATGGCGCGTATCGTGAGCCCGTTTTCTCGGATATTTTTTTATCTCGCTCACCGGGCCGTATCGATCGCACTCGCCCCCACGGTGAAAAAGCTGGAGAGAAGGGTAGGTAGAAGGAGAGCGAGCAGGAGGAGGAGAGAGAGAAGGGCGAAAGCCGATAGAAATCTCCACGAAAACTTGAGGCAACTCGTGTGACACGAGCATTACGCGGAGAAACAACGTCGACTTTCTCTCTCTCTCTCTCTCTCTCTCTAACACAAGGTTCTTCATCTAGCACGTACTCGCGTGTAACACCTCCCCACGTAACCCCATTGTACCTTTCTTTCCTTATGTGTATATCGTGGGTATTAGAGGAGAAGGACGTAACTCTACACGTAACACTAGTACTCTCTCTCTCTCTCTCTCTCTCTCTCTCTCTTTTTCTTTGACGATGGATCCCAAGCTTTCTCTCTACTCTTGGAAGCTTTTAATCCTTTTCAGCCCCGAGGCCAAACTCTACGTGGAGAAAGGAGCCAAGGAACCGTCGGGCGAGGCGCCAGCAAGGCTGCGATATGACACGACGAGAGATCGAACCGATACGAATTGCGAAACAAACACGACGAGCTCGTCATTTAACCCAACGCCGATAAATTGAAAAATAACGATATCGGTATCGATATCGATATTTGTATGTATATATATATATATATGTATACGTATGTCATTGCTAAAGTTATCCTCGCAAAAGGGACAAGATTGAACGAACGATATATCGCGGCTTTAGAATTGATGAAATTTCCAAATTTGCCGTCACACGTTGATGGGCAAAAACGATCACAAATTTGAAAAAAGAAATGATATTCGTTTTGCTACTGTTGTTGTACTCATTCGATAGTATTATATTAGATATTATTGATTGAACCCTTGATCTCGTAAATATTCGATGAAATCGTATCATGGAAATCAAATCGTATAGATGGAAAAATAATAATTACTCACATGTCGACTAAAAGGAACTTGTCGCCCTCATTGTGGAGACACCTGCCTTTACTGGAAAGCTCATTCCTGGATATTACAATCGATTGCCTCACGCCACTTTGAAACCAGGTGCCTTCCCAACGTGGTGGAAACGAACATTCTGAAACAATTGATTGAATAGTAACATTAATGTCTTATAACATTTAACTGAAGTATTTGGAATATTTGGTTATTTGATTTGTGAAAGATTGCAAAGAAATATATTCCATTTGGGAGATTCGATTATCCCTGTCGCGAAGCCAAAACGGAAGCGCGTTTATAGGGAACTTACGTTCTTGGAAGAAGGCTCACTTTAGAAGGAGGAAGATATAGATAGTGGTGACTTAGATGGAATAGAAGCGGCAAGACGAAGGATCGGCGTAGGATCGGCGTAGGATCGGCGTAGGATCGGCGTAGGATCGGCGTAGGATCGGCGTAGGATCGNAGGATCGGCGTAGGATCGGCGTAGGATCGGCGTAGGATCGGCGTAGGATCGGCGTAGGATCGGCGTAGGATCGACGAAGGATCGACGAGATAATAATCGAACAGATCCTGTAATATCCAGGATGAAGTAATTTGGGACAAATCGGTACGCGGAACGAAGACAAAGCTCGTTGGTAGGAGATAGACTATATATACATGTGTGTGTGTGTGTGTGTGTGTGTGTGTGTGTGCGCGCATGTAAGAGAGGGAAAGATAGAGAGTCGCGGTACCGAGATGAGAATTCCCAAGGTGGGATAATCCCAAAGGCGAAGCGAATTTCCGGAAACTACCATCGCAGTGGAAGGGATACATCCAGCCGAGTTATCGACGATAATCGAAATCCAGGGTAGTCCCTGGTGCCTCGTTCGTTTCCCTATGTTCGCATTCACGAGTCCAAAAGACCAAAATGCGACATGGCTAACGTCCCGCGCATGCAACTACGTTGTATCTTTGTTTTTGTCGAGTCAACAAATCTTACAACAAATGTATGTTAAATGTATGTAATTTTGTTAATTGCTTTTTGTATAATTTCTTTCTTTTCTATATCTTTCACTCCTGGGTGTAAAATCACATGAAAGTATAAGCAAAAACGCTTATTCGCGGAGGGCGTCCTTCGACAAGCTTAAGTGCCTTCCTTTTTCTCGTAAAGACGTTTGTACAAACGAAATGGTTTGCTCATTTTTCAACCGCAAGTAGAAAGATGTAAATGGAACAAAGTGGTCATTTACTCTGGGACGTTTTCACGTGTAAAGTTGTATAAGACTGTGCCATGGAAAGTGGATGATTTACTGAATGAGTTCAAGGTAGATCAAATAAAAAGGGAAAAGGGAGATATAATAAGAGAACGAAGACTAAAGATCGAGTTTACTTGTGTTACCGAATTTCAAGAGCTTTTTTCTTTCAAAATTGCATTTAAGTAAGCATTTAAACAGACTTTATCAAAATCATTTTTATCAATTATATTTCTTTTTTCAACTTTTTTTTTTAACAAGCTAAAACGATATCACATAAATGAACATTATTGTACTTCGAGGACTTTCTCAAGATATTTCAGTGGAAAGAAAAATCGTATAATTATTTTTAGAATATGTACATACGCATACAATTTTTTCGTGGTTTTTTTCTTTTTTTTTTTTAGAAAGATAAACGCTTCTTTATTGGCTAACGTTATATAAAGTAGCTTTATATTTAACATGCCTTTAATGGATCTCTCTTATGTATATACACAAGGAAGAAATATCAAAGGCTATGTGTTCCCATCTTGTTCTTTTTTCTTTTTCTTTTTCTTTTTCTTTTTCTTTTTCTTTTTCTTTTTCTTTTTCTTTTTCTTTTTCTTTTAAACGCGAGAAGACGTCGTTGCACCTTTTAATATCGTTACTTTTTCTTCGTTAAAGCGGATCCTTACAGATGATTGCTTACAACTCTTGCGAGAAGAGTCTTGGGTGAAAGAGCTTTCGGTGTTCTTTCTCAAGAGATTCACAGAGTTTGTTATCGTTTCTTGCGGTAAACTAACAAATAATATTGACTCGTATAATTGCCGATAGCTTTTATCTCCACGGATTACAGGCCTCAAAGTTGCCGTTTCTTCCCCATTACTAACTAAAGCTTTTGACGTTCTCAAACTGCAGTTGTTAAAATGAAAGTCCGTTCGACTAGTTTTTTGTTCGTCGTTCGGATGTTTATTAAAACAAACGATTACAACAATTTGAAAAATAATATTTTGTCGAAAAACGTAAGCGTACACGAATGCCCAAAGCTATCTGTGTATTCTCTTTACCGTTTATATACGATTTTCTGCTTACAAAAATATGTATTTCCTATTTGTATATTTCCATATTTTGCAATTCTAGTTTTGCTTTTATAACGATATCGATTCTATTAACGATTGATTTTGACAGTATAATGAAGAAAACAGACGACAGGATGGATATTTCTTTAAAGAAACATTTACAATTTGTACATTTGATACATATTGACAGGCAACATCGGATAGATGATTAGTGATTGTTTTAGTGAGAAGAAGAAACAGTGAGAAGACAAAGAAATATGTAGATATTTGAAGAAAGCAATGTCGAACGTGCGATTCGATTAGTCGTGCGATTTATTATACGTCGATTTTTAACAGCTGCATTCAGTACATCGAGTTTTGATTTGCTCGAACGATCTCTATTCGAGCTGTTTATAGTATTATAGTTTATAGTATTATAGTTTATAGTTTGACGTTGCTAATATTCTTTGATTAGAGAATTTCCTCTTTTTTTACTCGTAATTATGTTCTACACGGCCATTGAAATTAGACCGTAGGCCATCAACAAGCATCCCAGGTTGCGTCAGAGTTGCCATCCTAGTACCAATCATTTCTTTCTCTCTTTGGGTTTTTGCTTCTCCCCATTTTTCAAGAGAGAACGTCGAAGGGGTGAGTCGCCGCGATTCGTGGCAAAGTCGTCAAATCCGTAATCACAGTTCGCACCAGCCACCGACCGTGATGGAGGATCTTGCGAGAGGGAGAAACACTGGCAGGGGGTAGAGCACTCCAAGTAGGGCGAGGCAAAAGGAAGAGTTAGTTCGACACCCTCGTAGAATTTCCCTACCAGCAGTAGTGTTCGATAAAACAAAACTACGATGTACATTTTTCTTTTTTTTTTCTTTCTCTCTTTCTCTCTGATTATCCTTTTAACCCTTTGACGTTGAAGCGACCGACAGGTGTGACAGGTGACGGCTTAAAGGCGGCTTTATTTTAAATCTTTTTTTCCCTGGATCGATCGTACGAGGTACGACTTTGTTATGCGAAATTTCTCAATGCAGAATATTTGAAAGGTAGCACGAGAAATATCGATATACGTACATACCCTATACACGTGTATGCACTTTGATTCTTTTTCCTAACGATATTACGACTGATAATTAATTTATTTAACATTTTCACCTATCATAATTATCGTTATTATCATTTTGTCGATCGAATTTTAAATTCAAGCTGCAGTCAACCGAACGTTTTCAATGGAGAAAAGACACGCCGATGCATAATTACGGTGTTTTTATTCTCACGGATGTTACATTACTTTACTCGTCTTTTTATTCGTCTTCGTTTCCCACCTCTTACTCCTTTCTCTGCTAGTCTAACGACCCCCGCGAGGATATAATTCACCCCTCGAAACGGTCTACAACGAACACCAGTCCGATAATAATAACACGAACGATAATGATAATAATAATGCGAGCGCTCGTCCCGAAGGGAAAATAAGAAGAAGCTTAGTCCGAACTCCCTTCGAGCGTGTACGAATGCAAAGTATACCAATACATTAAACGACAAAAAAGCAAAAAAGCAAAAAAGCAAAAAAGCAAAAGAGAAAAAAAAATGTAGAAAGAATTTTCGCGTTGAGAGAGAGAGAGAGAGAGAGAGAGAGAGAGAGAGAGAGAGAGAGATATGATGCTTCATTCGAGTTTACTGGTCTAGATATTTTGTGTACTTTTCAAAATAGAACAGCCGAGGAGTATTCTTAAAAGATGGAAAGATGGTCATTTAAATCCACAAGCCGTGTGATAGATCATTAGGAAAGTCGGCCATGTACTAAGTACTAAGAGTCAAGCTTTGAATCGGTACACGAATTTCTAGTACATCTTACCCTAAGAGTACTTTTCCCTTGAAGCCGTTGATACTAATTGTTCTCACGAACGAGACATTATTTTTCCTAGTCTCCTTATAAAGCAGCTCTTCTTGCTTTCTCTAGGGAGTTAACGATCCCTAAGAGACCGTAATTCAGCCCTCCAAATGGCGGGTGACATCGTTCCCGTCTCTCCTCTCTCTCTCTCTCTCTCTCTCTCTCACACACAAATCCCCTTTAGTTGGTTGAGTTGTTTCGTGCGAGTCACGTGACCGGAGCCAAAATTTCTTGATTAAGACGATGGCACGCGATCAACCTTGATTATTACACATATGTTTATATAATATATGCATAATATACTATGTATACGCGCGTGGTTCCCCATGTCAGGGTTTCTTTTTTTCTGCTTTTGTATATTTTTTCTTTTGTCGAACAAAGTACACAAATAAGTAGCACTCGTGCCAGCCACCAACTCCTTCGTCTGTTATTGGTAACTACACACTACAATCCTACGTTGAATTTTGTATGGAAATTCTTGTGAATAGAATTAGACGATCTTTAACTTTGTATTAGAATTTGTATCTTTCATTTATAAACAATTTTATTTGAGAATGTATTTTTGGAAATGTAATTAAATGTACGATCGATGTATATCGTTTTTGATGATTTAGTTCATACCTACAGATACACCACCTATGCTTTGTTCGTTCTACCTTCTATTGCATATGTACGTGCACGCTTTGATAGTCAATTTTCCGTGATCCGAACGTTGCAGTTGGTTACCGCAGTATTGTGGAATCTTTGACGTCATTGCAGTTATCGCTGGCTATATCGGGCTGTCGTTTCTCTATAAATTAGACCGCACAATAGCACTCGTCGAGAGCCTCAGGGGAGGTAACGGAACGTAACGTTACGGTGTGCCAAAATGAGTCGAACTGATCAGAGGGAAACTGCCTCGTTAGACATCCTACGTTTAAATAATTTCAACCACAGAGTGATATAAATTAGCAAATTTGCGATTATCATTAATTTA